ATTTTGATGCATTCCATTCCCTCATATAAAAGGGATCACCAGGGTTTGTTTTATAAAAAAAACGACAGATATCAAATCATGCTAGGTTATTTTTAATATATAAAATTACATGTGATTTGTGATATTTTAGTACCGGTACATAAAAAAAAAATCACAAAAAAATGTCCGTATTTCGTTTCCAGATTCGTCATCGATCACACTACAATCATCTTAAGAACTTCTTATTTACCTGCAAAGAATGAAAAGTATAAATAAGAAGAAAATAATAATAATAAATCTTATAGTAATATTTGACAAGTCCCAGGGCAGTGGCAGTTCTAGGAATTGTGAGATGCAGTGGCCACAGAATCATAGGGGTACGACAGGTTGATCAGGCTAGTTTGTCCGAAATTTTCCCACGAATTTTGTCTGTATTTATCTTTGATTTTGTCTTGTTGTCCGACATTTTTTCGATGTTTTTTCCTCAATGCCCGAACAGATCTGTCCTCCCCACCCACACACCAAAAGTAAAAAAAAAAATCTGTCCAAAGTTGTAGTCTGTAGATATTGACGTAGAGTGAGCACGATAGAAATGGGAACAGACGAACCGGCACCGAGAAGTGTGATGGTAATATACGCTAAATCTTCAATTGAGCGTATTAAATATACCTACCAACACCATAGGTAGAGCCAAGAAGGCCCAATCCGAGTCCACCATATGGTCCTAATCCAAAGCCAGCTCCTCCAAAACCACCAATTCCACCAAATGGCCCAAATCCGCCAAGTCCACCGATTGGTCCGAAGCCACCAAATCCAAATCCTCCGAGTCCACCAAGTCCACCAAATCCTCCGAGTCCACCAAGTCCACCAAATCCACCGAGTCCACCAAGTCCCCCATACATGCCAAGTCCCCCGAATAATGGATTGATGGGAATAAGGGGTAGGCCTATAGCCCCGTACCCAGCTGATACGGTGGCAATGGAAACAAGAGCAAGAAGGACAACGACCTGGGACAACATCTCGACAAGATCTGAAAGTAACATTCAGACTCAAATCAGTTTCATAAACAGTTCCTCGTGACTTACTTAACAGAATAATACAAATTATACCTATGATTTTAAATCTGAATATAATAGAATATCCAATAATAACACAGACAGACAGCTCTGAGCATTGGAATTGGAAATAGAAAGCAATATACCTTGGCTGCCTAAAATTTTACCAAACTTTCGTTCCGTTTTAAGTAAAGTATTTTTAACCAATCAAAGCTTGTCATCTAAATGGTAAAATTGATGCTATCAGTGTCCCCGATACATATTAAAGTTTTAGAAAAATCTTTACAATTCCTTGAAATTGGCATTATAGGATATAGAAGAAAATTCAAACATACACTTACTTGTTGACTTGGCTTACAATGTGATCTGGAGCTACTGAATATTGTGTGCGGTGATCTGAGTCGCGATACCAGATTTATAGTCGCCATTTGGGAAGGAGTGTTCGGCCATAAGCAATAATCAATAAAGGTTTCTCACTTTAATTGCAAAAATATTCATCAATGTCAAATCAAGCAGCACGATTTTAGTTTGGGGATTTATTCAATTAAAGTATGACCAAATATAAAATATCTAATTTCGGTCTTAATTTCTTAGTTTATAGTCATAGCCTTAGGGTTACAAGTAAATAAATTACTCTTTTAAATCTACGCAATGGTTTGGGAATATATTTTCTAAAAATATGTCAAGTTTTAAAGGGACAGTTTCGCCATCCGTTTGACCAATCCTACATCAGTCTCAGAATCGGAAATTTGAATTTTGTAGCTAACCTCATCAGTAATAGTGATATATAGAAAAGACCATCAAAATACATCTCTGTATAGATCAGGGCCGTTGAAGCCGGGGGTTAAAGTACCTCCAGCCACTAGACTATCATAGACCAACACTTTTTCATCGGAGACACGTAAAAAAAATACGTTAAGCAGAAATAAAAGATAGAAACAACTCTGTTTTACAAGTAATAACAACCTCGCATTCGCATTGATCTTTCAGGATTATCCATAGGAATACATTTAATGCGAAATATTGACTTTCTCATTCCAGTCGAGATTAGCGAATTAACTATATATACAGTCCATAATCTGATCATTTAACACATTAGTGGGAATGCTATCCAAAATGGCCTCAGATGCAAGGAAAGTAACTTTTTTTCTTCGTTGAGGCGTCTCTGCTATTGTATGCCATCTACAAGAAAGCTGTCCGCAGTGGTTTCAGATGCAAGGATTCAAAACTTCGTTTTTCAAAAAAAATTCTTGGTGAGAGTTCCCAGCCATCTTCATGAGGCGAGCGTCGTATGCTGTCAACGAGAATGCTGTACTGAAAGGCTTGGTGCAAGGAGATAAATCCTAATTTTTCCAAATCCCCCAACAAAATTTATTACCCAATATAATGTAGAATTAGATGTATAAGTAGGTCTCGGAATTATCCTCCAAAGACTCTAAAGCTGGGGACTATATTCAGGTCGCAATCTTACTTAACAAATCATTGTAAAATGCCGGAAGTAAAGAAGTTCGTCAAAGATTGTACAACGAAATCTTCCATTCAGTAACGAGACAGATTCAGTTTTACTGAAACTGTCGAGGATTGGTGAACGACAGTAAGTTTACTTGCCTCAGCAATTCTCGGCAGTTTCCGTAAAGCCGGTAATGAATGCAACACGAATTGTTGTATTTTTCAGGGCGAGCCGTTTCGCTTCCACGTCTGGTTTGAAACACGTGACTGCTAAATTTGCGACTTCATTTCCTTATTCCATTTTGAGATAATTCCGTGATTCTCACTTATAATGTACTCAATGCCATTTTACAATATTCATGATGGGATATCGGCACGTTTATGGCAGCTGCTCCGATCCATTTTCTTCTACTTTCGGAGAATTTTCATCATGACAAAAGGCAAGTGTTGGAAAAACTTTTTATTTTGGTATCTGTACAAAGCTGAACATACTAAAATATAGACCGAACTTATAGAATTGAACAAATATGGGAAAAGTTTACCGTTAACTGTATTGTGGCCAGGCTACTGCGTGGTGCACAGGGACATTATAGATGTCAAGATGATGGTTGCGTATCTCTGATTATTAGACGAATTGTAATTTTGTATTTGTGTGACAATAAAAAATAATTAACCCATTTCATTTTGACAGTGTAGAGGGCATTAGTCATGATGATGGGGGTGGGGGCGGGAATTCATCTAACGCGAGTTTGGGAGAAGAATAAATTTTGCACTTTTTATGGGCTGAGTCGGGGAGGGTTGGGGCAAAATTACCGCGCAATACCACTGTATTTTTGGATTTTCATACTACATTCATTTTGGAACCAATTGGTAATTTTTTCCTTTTTTAGTTTCCGGAGCAAATTCAAATTGTTTGGTTTAATTGCGTAAATGTCCCTCAAACTATTCCTAAAACAACTCACTTAACGCAACTCTTATGTAAAGGGTTTTTACATACTGCAATTCGTTGCCTTCTGCTGACATTAAAGACGAGGAAGAAGGTTTATATGCAATTTCGAAAGAGCATTTCGATGTTATCATATGTGGAGGTGTGGAAAAAATCCATAAAACAGGGCCTTGTTTTTCTGACTCTACTATAGCCGACAACTTTTAAAATAGCCAGAGGCTAGAATAGACATGTTATTGACCTATTCGTGCGTGTCGAACTGAGAATTTTCAGATTAAAGAGGAGGGTGTGTGAAATTTGTTCTATGTCCAGTGGCGGGTTTTGGACGGTAATTTCTTATTTTAAGGAGGGGGCATGGTGTAATTACAATTTTATGGCAGAAAGATTGCGATCTTTTTTTTTTCAGGAACAGCTCAGTCAGCTCGTCAGCATCAATCGTATGCACGATATCGACATTCATCACCATTAGGCTCAAACAATTTAGTCGATTCTCACACACCACGCTCCTAATAGGACAATTTTCGGTGGGCCTGTGAAAATTTATTAACTGTTTGATAATTTTTACTGTTATAAAATTTGTCATCGGCCGAAAGGCAGCTGCCCAGTTTTCCTATAGGTTAATCCGCCTTTGTCTATGTCACAGTAAAGTTCGTTGTTGTCAAAAACACTGAAAATAATGTGCACGGATAAACGCAGCTTCTCTGGCTTTTTTTCTTTTTTAACTTTAACGTGCACATATTATTATGTATGCAAATCAAAATCAAGAAAAACCAAGTACACGGGACCTCGGTTTATAGTCCCATCCGAACGACTAAATGCCTCTTAAATTTTTAGATAAGAGCACATTTGATCTTGGCTGTAGGATTCATTAGATCAGCATTCAAACACCGTCTTCAATTGCACGCTACAAGGGCAACAACTACAGTAAGGGATAATTATAGTTTACATATGCTGTACTATCGAAATTAGCATTTTCCTTGCAGAGTCATTTTCTTTTCCGGTTTCTTATTAACCCAGGCAATTCCCATACGACAGTTTGTTTGTCATTGGCATGGCTAATCTTTACATATACAGGAGCATGATGTTCAAGGGTTCTGCTTTCGAAGTCAATATTGTTTGAGCCCCCTTGAGATAAAGGTGATTCTGGTTTCAGTCACTACTTAAGAGAGCCAGCTCAGTGTTGGCCATCAACCCAATCTCATTTTAAATAAGAACAAAGAATGGAAAACAGTTGAATGCAAGAGTTATATAATATCTACTAAGTTACATTATTTAATACCGGTACACATAATAATGATAAAATTGTCCGTATTTCGTTTCCAAATTCATCATCGAACACACTACAACAATCATCGTAGAGACTTCTTATTTACCTGCAATGAATGAAAAGAGTGAATTAATATAAAAATCTGTACAAGCAAGAAGATTTCGTTAATCAAAATCTGGTCCAAAGTATGGCAAAATCGAGAGTAAGAGATGTATAGTAGTGGACTCCTCCAAAGAGAAGTACCATCAGGTGTTTCGAAATGGTCGTCAATAATTGAACTATGGAGTCAATGCATCAACGATAGAATTCCAATGCTAGTATTCTGGAATTGATAATAAACATCTAAATGACCACGTGGAAGCTCTTGATTTTTGCGCGTTCCTCGTTGTCAAACATACCGTGTTAGATATGATGACCTCACAGGTATCGTATTATAAAGCTAAATACTGAATAATTATGATGTGGTTCAATGATATATCCTCACTTTATTGGAAGATTGTAATGCTATATTTATTTTTTAAAAATACCGTATTGAGTGCCAAATCCTCCAAGTCCACCGAATGGAAGACCTCCGAATCCACCAAGACCTCCGTATCCACCAAGTCCACCAAGTCCACCAAGTCCACCAATTCCTCCGTATCCACCAAGTCCTCCGAATCCACCGAGGCCTCCTAAACCTCCAAAGCCTCCGAGACCTCCAATACCTATTCCGCCGAAACCATGTCCGCCAAAACCTCCAAGTCCTCCAATTCCTATTGGGAAACCTCCTCCGAAACCTCCAATGCCTCCTCCGTAGCCTAGACCACCGAGACCACCGAAACCACCGAGGCCTCCTAAACCTCCAAAGCCTCCTAAACCTCCGAATGGAATACCTCCTCCATATAGCCCAGCAGATACGCTAGCGACCGATACAAGAGCAAGTACGGCAAAGACTTGACACAACATTTTCAGAAAATCTACAACAAAATAATATATGTCATTATATAGCAGACCTCGTTGAAATAGTATTGGAAATATACGTTAATATGAACATAATCATCATAAAACATGAACAATTTCGAACTGCCACATCCTTAATAATTAATCTTCATGCAATCGTCGTGCAAGTATTGTCAATAACTACAGGAGGAGTGAATAAGTGTCCCATTTCTAGTTTTATGTTGTGCTCAATTTTAGCTCTCAGTTTCCGGTTCGTCTACAATATTATAAATGCAAATAAAAAATGCACTATACTGCATTCTTTACTACTGAATTGATAAACGTCGGTCCAAAATTGGACAGACGACGAATGCCAAAAATCATCAGGATCTAATACAAATTGTTTCATTGATCTTTAAAAGGCCAAAGACAAGCAGGTATCGAATCATATCAAATTTTTAAAAAAAAATTACAAGTAGCTTACTTACCTTGACTTTCAGTATAGTCTGCGGCTAAGGTTACTGGATTGTGTGTAGTGGTAGAAGTCGAGATTCCAGATTTATAGACAATTTTTTGGAAGGGTGTGGATAAGGCCAGAAGCAACTCATCAATAAGATTTTATTTTATTTCTTTGATTAAAAACAAAAACTCCATCACTGTCAACGCCAAGCACGTGGTAAAAGCAGTTGACCTATGCACGAAATGAAACCATACCGCCTATCCTTTTTTTCCACCTAATCAAGACTGAATATTGTATTACTCAGCGATATTCTAAACTCAGTCCAAAAACGCACTGGCTATTTGTACCGTCACGGTGAGTGTTCTCTATGGTTGCTAACAAATGTATGAATAAGATAGAACACAATAGTTTTTGGCGGGTTTTTTTAAAGTGTGGTGCCATTTTGATTGTCAAGAATGATATTAAGTGACTTTGTTAGGTTTAGGTAGGGATGGCCATATGTTTTTAATGCACATATTATTTTGTACCGTCGCGGTGAGAATAGCCACGGTCATCTAAGAATGTCATTTATTATGACCCAATTTAATGTTTAACAAAGTACGGATAAGGTCTTCAGTCATTTAAATAACTGACGGATGCTAACTTGCAGTGGCTCAACTTGATGAGAAGGGGCTCGTGGAGTTGGAGAAGTAGGCTGAGACCCCTCTGAAAGTCAATTTAATGCTTGTTAATGGAATATTTAAAGAGTTTCAGTCTGTAGTTAATACTATTTCTGTGGGTAGGGGTCCCTGGTCCCTATGGTAGTTGAGCCACTGCTAACTTGGAACTGACTTTAACTTGTTCCCATTGACGCAACCAACAAAATGCTATAGATTTTTACTTTAATTTAAGACCTGGATGGAATGAATATGGAGTTCCCTCATAAGTGGATTTTGGCAACATTATGTGCTTTTGGTCATATACAAGAACTACATGTATCTTATGGCGTCTTGTTTTCGTTCATCTGAATAAATACAACCTAAATGTATAGAGATTTTAAAACTTGAACGTATTTAGTACAACATACTTTTAAATGGGAAATATCGAATAAGAATGCACAACATAATTCTATGACAACAAAGACACTAACGTTAGGCCCCAACAAAGTAATGAAGTTTAGTTGGCAGTCATGGATATTATACGTCCATTCATAGCCCGATGTTTCGATATTCTGGGACATTTGCCATAGTTAAGGGATAAAACTGTTATTCGCATACTGAGCAATGTTTATCATAGTTTGAGACTTGTTACCAATATTTTAGTTTTGTTTACCATTGTTTGAGCTTTGTTTACCATTGTTTGAGATTAATTTACCATAGTTTGAGACTTGTTTACCATAGTTTGAGACTTGTTTACCATAGTTTGAGACTTGTTTACCATTGTTTGAGACGTGTTTACCATTGTTTGAGATTAGTTTACCATAGTTTGAGACTTGTTTACCATAGTTTGAGACTTGTTTACCATAGTTTGAGACTTGTTTACCATTGTTTGAGACGTGTTTACCATTGTTTGAGACTTGTTTACCATTGTTTGCGCTGTTTTCACCATTATAGTTTGGTCTCTTATGCACTTTCTATCGGATCCATCAGACAAAAAAATACACCCCTTTGACTAATGAGGTACTCAATGGCAGAGCCAGCTTTACGTCCAAGGGGGTTGGGGGGGATATCTGAGATTGCCCGAATCTTTAACCTATTTCCGACATTTTTGCCCGAAAAACTTGCTTTCGGGTTAGGGTTAGGCTGTCCCCCTCTCACCCTTTGGCTCCACCTCTTGAGGTACTTCTTAATTTCTTAAGAGCACAGTATCTGACATTTTTGATGACCCCGTGAACCTTTACAAAATAGTTGAAATCCAACCAAATACTTAAAATAACGTCACATATTATTAATGATCGTCCAGGTATTTTTTGATCGGTAGAATATTTGGAAAAAAAATCCCCTACTTCATTGTAGACAAACTAAGGGTCGAATATTTATTCCGAAACGTGATGCGGGTTTCTAACCTTGTGAGATGGTAGCAAGATAAACAGAGACTCTTCAATTTATTATATTCGTATGGAAGTTAATTACTGGTATCAATTAGGTATGCATGGGTTAAAATATCCTTATATAAAGCAAATATGATTTGCTCAATACAAGGGCGGTGGATATTACTTGATTATGCTTATGCACTTCATCTTCATTACAAAAATTAGGTGCAGCAACTTTTTGCTATGAAAACCATTAACAGTTATTTGAATATAAGCATCACAATTATTGTTTTCAAATGAACTTTAACCCTGTGCCGGTGCTTTCAGTGGAATAGCAACGTCTTACCGATTGCTTCATTCGTCCACGGCCAGTGATTCCGAGAGTTGTCTTTCACCTTAATCACACAATGGCTAAAAATTTGCTGCCAGTTGGCGTCCAATTATTGTATACCAAAAGTGGCCTCGAACCCACTCCCTACAAAATTGATTAAAATTACTAATTATCAAAATTTAAATGAGAACATTTTAGCCTTGCGGTGGAATAGATTAATTAAATATTGTTAGTGGTTTATTGAGATTAATCGTAGAAAACAGATCTATTTAAATCTGGTGTAGCCACACGATCATATATATTGGCCTTAAGCAAAGGAAAACACCTCTACTGACGTTAAAGATTTGGTTTTTGAAATTTAAGCATTTATTAGTGCTCGTTTGGGCTAATGAAGACGGGCAACGACATGCCAAAGTAACAGCTTTTGAATACTATGAAATATAAATTTAAATGAAAAAATTAATGAGGTAATAAGACTGGGAGGGGCTCGACTTTTGAACATTGAAAACCAAGCACCAACTTCCTAAAAGTTTTATAGGCCCAGGTTACATTTATATTCACAATATGTGTCCTCGTTTCCAACCTCGAATATATATATATTGTATATCGATCACACTACAATCATCTTAAGAACTTCTTATTTACCTGCAAAGAATGAAAAGAATAAATAAGAAGAAAATAATAATAATAAATCTTATAGTAATATTTGACAAGTCCTAGGGCAGTGACAGTTCTAGGAATTGTGAGATGCAGTGGCCACAGAATCATAGGGGTACGACAGGTTGATCAGGCTAGTTTGTCCGAAATTTTCCCACGAATTTTGCCTGTATGTATCTTTGATTTTGTATTGTTGTCCGACATTTTTTTGATGTTTTTTCGTCAATGCCCGAACAGATCTGTCCTCCCCACCACCTCGGTCTCCTACGCCTTTGAACATTATTGTCAAACAGCGCTAGGCATTTAAGAACTCAATGATAAGAAATTTGGAGGCCGAAGTAGGGTCAACCTCATTGCCATGGACATTAGGCATTTTCGCAGAAAATCTTAAAATGACAATTCAATAAAAATTGTTCAAAACTCACAAAGTTATCCCTGTTGCAAATCACTCACAAACCAAAAGTAAAAATAAAAATCTGTCCAAAGTTGTAGTCTGTAGATATTGACGTAGAGTGAGCACGATAGAAATGGGAACAGACGAACAGGCACCGAGAAGTGTGATGGCAATATACGCTAAATCTTCAATTGAGCGTATTAAATATACCTACCAACACCATAGTTAGAGCCAAGAAGGCCCAATCCTAGTCCACCATATGGTTCTAATCCAAAACCAGCTCCTCCAAAACCACCAATTCCACCAAATGGCCCAAATTCGCCAAATCCACCGATTGGTGCGAAGCCACCAAATCCAAATCCTCCGAGTCCACCAAGTCCACCAAATCCTCCGAGTCCACCAAGTCCACCAAATCCACCGAATCCACCAAGTCCTCCATACATGCCAAGTCCCCCGAATAATGGATTGATGGGAATAAGGGGTAGGCCTATAGCCCCGTACCCAGCTGAAACGGTGGCAATGGAAACAAGAGCAAGAAGGACAACGACTTGGGACAACATCTCGACAAGATCTGAAAGTAACATTCAGACTCAAATCAGTTTCATAATCAGTTCCTCGTGACTTACTTAACAGAATAATACAAATTATACCTATGATTTTAAATCTGAATATAATAGAATATCCAATAATAACACAGACAGCCAGCTCTGAGCATTGGAATTGGAAATAGAAAGCAATATACCTTGGCTGCCTAAAATTTTACCAAGTTTTCGTTCCGTTTTAAGTATAGTATTTTTAACCAATCAAAGCTTGTCATCTAAATGGTAAAATTGATGCTATCAGTGTCCCCGATACATATTAAAGTTTTAGAAAAATCTTTACAATTCCTTGAAATTGACATTATAGGATATAGAAGAGGGAAGGAGTGTTCGGCCATAAGCAATAATCAATAAAGGTTTCTCACTTAAATTGCAAAAATATTCATCAATGTCAAATCAAGCAGCACGATTTTAGTTTGAGGATATCTAATATCTAATTTCGGTCTTAATTTCTTAGTTTATAGTCATGGTCTTAGGGTTACAAGTAAATAAATTACCCTTTTAAATCTACGCAATGGTTTGGGAATATATTTTCTAAAAATATGTCAAGTTTTAAAGGGACAGTTTCGCCATCCGTTTGACCAATCCTACCTCAGTCTCAGAATCGGAAATTTGAATTTTGTTGCTAACCTCATCAGTAATAGTGATATATAGAAAAGACCATCGAAATACATCTCTGTATAGATCAGGGCCGTTGAAGTCGGGGGTTAAAGTACCCCCAGCCACTAGAATATCATAGACCAACACTTTTTCATCGGAGACACGTAAAAAATACGTTAAGCAGAAATAAAAGATAGAAACAACTCTGTTTTACTAGTAAAAACAACCTCGCATTCGCATTGATCTTTCAGGATTATCCATAGGAATACATTTAATGCGAAAAATTGACTTTCTCATTCCAGTCGAGATTAGCGAATTAACTATATATACAGTCCATAATCTGATCATTTAACACATTAGTGGGAATGCTGTCCAAATTGCCTCAGATGCAAGGAAAGTTACTTTTTTTCTTTGTTGGGGCGTCTCTGCTGTTGTATGCCATCTACAAGAAAGCTGTCCGGAGTAGTTTCAGATACAAGGATTCAAAACTTCGTTTTCCAAAAAAAATTCTTGGTGAGGGTTCCCAACCATCTTCATGAGGCGAGCGCCGTATGCCGTCAACGAGAATGCTACACTGAAAGGCTTGGTGCAAGGAGATAAACACTAATTTTTCCAAATTCTTTTTATAATACTTTTTATTTTGGTATCTGTACAAAGCTGAACAATAAACTATCAAGTTATTATCGGGTATTCTAGGATATCGATACACGGTACTAAAATATAGACCGCGCAATGCCACTGTATTTTTGGATTAACATACTAGTGTGTTGGGCACAATGTAATGCTTGTCTACAAGAAGCAAGTGGTGTCAATTCATATTACTTTTACTTTTAATGGGTTTTCTCTTTTATTTTTATTTGTTATATCTACATTCCTTTTGGAACGAATTGGTAATTTTTTTCCTTTTTGATTTCCAGAGCAAATTCAAATACCGCTACATTGTTTGGTTTTATTGCGTGCATGTCCAAAAAACTATTTCTAAAACAACTCACTTAACGCAACTCTTATGAAAAGGGTTTTTATATACTACAGTTGGGAATTTTTGCTTCGTTACCTACTGTTGACCGCTGTGGAAGACGGTTTATATGCCATTTCGAAAGAGCTTTTTGATGTTATCATATGTGGAGGTGTGGTAAATCTCCATAAAACGGGGCCTTGTTTTTCTGACTCTACTATAGCCGACATTGACCTATTGGTGCGTGGATTAGATGTCGAGAATTTTCAGAGTGAAGAGGAGGGTGTGTGAAAATTGTCTGTGTCATAGTAAAGTCCAATGTTGACAAACGCTGGTAATAATGTGCACGGATAAACGCAGCTTCTCTGGATTTTTTTCTTTTTTAACTTTAACGTGCACATATTATTATGTATGCAAATCAAAATCAAGAAAAACCAATTACATGGGACCTCGGTTTATAGTCCCATCCGAACGACTAAATACGTCTTAAAATTTTAGATAAGAGCACATTAAAAATTTTGATCTTGGTTGTAGGATGCATTAGATCAGCATTCAAACACCGTCTTCAATTGCACGCTACAAGGGCAATAACTACATTAAGGGATAATTATAGTTTACATATGCTGTACTATCGAAATTAGCATTTTCCTTGCAGAGTCATTGTCATTTCTGGTTTCTTATTAACCCAGGCAATTCCCATACGACAGTTTGTTCGTCATTGGCATGGCTAATCTTTAAATATACCGGAGCATGATGTTCAAGGTTGAAGAGTTCTGCTTTCGAAGTCAATATTGTTTGAGCCCCCTCGAGATAAAGGTGATTCTGGTTTCAGTCACTACTTAAGAGAGCCAGCCCATGCAGTGTTGGCGATCAACCCCATCTGCTTTTAAATAAGAACAAAGAATGGAAAACAGTTAAATGCAAAAGTTATATAATATCCACTGAGTTACATTATTTAATACCGGTACACATAATAATGATAAAATTGTCCATATTAACCTCCTCCGAAACCTCCTCCGTAGCCTAGATCACCGAAACCACCGAGGCCTCCTAAACCTCCAAAGCCTCCTAAACCTCCGAATGGAATACCTTCTCCATATAGCCCAGCAGATACGCTAGCGACCGATACAAGAGCAAGTACGGCAAAGACTTGACACAACATTTTCAGAAAATCTACAACAAAATAATATATGTCATTATATAGCAGACCTTGTCGAAATATATTGAAAGTATTAATATAATTAGATATAATGACTATACCTTAAGGTATATTGTTATAAGTTTGAAATTTCATGCACTATACTGCATTCTTTACTATTGAATTGACAAACGTCGGTCCAAAATTGGACAGACGACGAATTCCAAAAATCATCAGGATCTAATACAAATAGCTTCATTGATCTTTAAAAGGCCAAAGACAAGCAGGTATCGAATCATATCAAATTTTTAAAAAAAAATTACAAGTAGCTTACTTACCTTGACTTTCAGTATAGTCTGCGGCTAAGGTTACTGGATTGTGAGTAGTGGTAGAAGTCGAGATTCCAGATTTATAGACAATTTTTTGGAAGGGAGTGGATAAGGCCAGAAGCAACTCATCAATAAGATTTTATTTTATTTCTTTGATTAAAAACAAAAACTCCATCACTGTCAACGCCAAGCACGTGGTAAAAGCAGTTGACCTATGCATGAAATGAAACCATACCGCCTTTTTTTCCACCTAATCAAGACTGAATATTGTATTACTCAGCGATATTCTAAACTCAGTCCAAAAACGGACTGGCTATTTGTACCGTCACGGTGAGTGTTCTCTATGGTTGCTAACAAATGTATGAATAAGATAGAACACAATAGGCGCGCTAGTTTTTGGCGGGTTTTTTTAAAGCGTGGTGCCATTTTGATTGTCAAGAATGATATTAAGTGACTTTGTTAGGTTTAGGTAGGGATGGCCATATGTTTTTAATGCACATATTATTTGGTACCGTCGCGGTGAGAATAGCCACGGTCATCTAAGAATGTCATGTATTATGACCCAATTTAATGTTTAACAAAGTACGAATAAGGTCTTCAGTCATTTGAATAACTGACGGATGCTAACTTGCAGTGGCTCAACTTGATGAGAAGGGGCTCGTGGAGTTGAAGAAGTAGGCTGAGACCCCTCTAAAAGTCAATTTAATGCTTGTTAATGGAATATTTAAAGAGTTTCAGTCTGTAGTTAATACTATTTCTGTGGGTAGGGGTGTCCCTGGTCCCTATGGTAGTTGAGCCACTGCTAACTTGGAACTGACTTTAAGTTGTTCCCATTGACGCAACCAACAAAATGCTATAGATTTATACTTTAATTTAAGACCTGGATGGAATGAATATGGAGTTCCCTCATAAGTGGATTTTGGCAACATTATGTGCTTTTGGTCATATACAAGAACTACGTGTATCTTATGGCGTCTTGTTTTCGTTCATCTGAATAAATACAACCTAAATGTATAGAGATTTTAAAACTTGAACGTATTTAGTACAACATACTTTTAAATGGGAAATATCGAATAAGAATGCACAACATAATTCTATGACAGCAAAGACACTAACGTTAGGCCCCAACAAAGTAATGAAGTTTAGTTGGCAGTCATGGATATTATACGTCCATTCATAGCCCGATGTTTCGATATTCTGGGACATTTGCCATAGTTAAGGGATAAAACTGTTATTCGCATACTGAGCAATGTTTATCATAGTTTGAGACTTGTTACCAATATTTTAGATTTACTTACCGTTGTTTGAGCTTTGTTTACCATTGTTTGAGATTAGTTTACCATAGTTTGAGACTTGTTTACCATAGTTTGAGACTTGTTTACCATATTTTGAGACTTGTTTACCATAGTTTGTGATTGCCCGAATCTCTAACCTATTTCCGACATTTTTGCCCGAAAAACTTGCTTTCGGGGTAGGGTCAGACTGCCCCCCTTTGGCTCCGCAACTGGAGGCACTTCTTAATTTCTTAAGAGCACAGTATCTGACATTTTTGATGACTTTAATAAGGGACCCCGTGGACATTTACAAAATAGTTGAAATCCGACCAAATAAAAAACGTCACATATTAATGATCGTCCAGGTATTTTTTGATCGGTAGAATATTGTAGACGAACTAAGGGTCGAATATTTATTCCGAAACGTGATGCGGGTTTCTAACCTTGTGAGATGGTAGCAAGATAAACAGAGACTTTTCAATTTATCATATTCGTATGGAAGTTAATTACTGATGTCAATTAGGCATGTATGGGTTAAACTATCCTGATATAAAGCAAGATTTTTAACGATTTGCTCAATACAAGGGCGGTGGATAATACTTGATTATGCTTATGCACTTCATCTTCATTACAAAAATTAGGTGCAGCAACTTCTTGCTATGAAAACCATTAACAGTTATTTGAATATACGCATCACAATTATTGTTTTCAAATGAACTTTAACCCTGTGCCAGTGCTTTCAGTGAAATAAATTTACCGGTTGCTTCATTCGTCTACGGCCAGTGATTCCGAGAGTTGTCTTTCACCTTAATCACAAAATAGCTAAAAATTTGCTGCCAGTTGGCGTCCAATTATTGTTAAATTATCAAAATTTAAATGAGAACATTTTGTGGGTGGAATAGATTAATTAAATATTGTTAGTGGTTTATTGAGATTAATCGTAGAAAACAGATCTATTTAAATCTAGTGTAGCCACACGATCATATATATTGGCCTTAAGCAAAGGAAAACACCTCTACTGACGTTAAAGATTTGGTTTTTGAAGTTTAAGCATTTATTAGTGCTTGTTTGGGCTAATGAAGACGGGCAACGACATGCCCTGTTTTTCTATTTCCAGGATAGTCAGAAGATTTCAAAAGATAGTCCAAAATTTTCGAATCGGTCAAAGTAACAGCTTTTGAATACTATGAAATAAAAATTTAAATGAAAAAATTAATGAGGTAATAAGACTGGGAGGGGCTCGACTTTTGAACATTGAAAACCAAGCACCAACTTCCTAAAAGTAGTAAATGTATGAGCAGGGTGGTAAAGGTTTGACTTTTAAACATTGAAAACCAAGTACCAACTTCCTAAAAGTAGGAAATGTATGAGCAAGGTGGTAAAGGTACGACTTTAGAACATTGAAAAACAACCGCCAACTTCTTAAAAGTAGGAAATGTATGAGCAAGGTGGTAAAGTTACGACTATTAAACATTGAAAACCAACTACCAACTTCCTAAAAGTAGGAAATATATGGGCAAGGTGGTAAAGGTACGACGTTGTAGGAAATGTATGAGCGGGATGGTAGGGATTCGACTTTTGAACATTGAAAACCAACTACTCTATATAGTAGAAAATGTACGAGCAGGATGGTAAAGGTTCGACTTATGAACACTGAAAACCGACTAATAACTTCCCTATACAGTAGGAAATGTATGAGCAGGGTGGTAAAAGTCAGAATTATCTTATGGTAAGGCTTTTGAACCACCAACATCAACGTACCCAACCAGGAGTTGTAAATTAGTTCGTATAAATGTTAAATGTATTTTATTTACAGTATAATTACAGAATAAATAATACATGTACATGTTAAATACAACCTAATGGCACTTCTCTCTGTACAATATTACACCATCTTTAATATGTATTAAATGCATTTAATTGTATCCTATCCTAAATACATGTATCTTCGTGTATTTTCCAATACAAAATGTGCTTATGAGATTAACAATTTTAAGATAAATTTGCGACTGACTTGCAAATGAGACCCGCTATCTTGTTACTTTGGTACTCTATTTTGTTAATAAGATTATAAGCTTAAAGATGGGTTCCCTTATTTTCATTTATGAAAATGCTAATACTTATATGAATAGAGATGTAGATGTGTTCTAATGACTTAGAAAAATACCAAATGTCCATAATTAACTCATAATTAGCTAAATTAGAAGAGAATAACCTGCAGAATTCCAATGAGTGATTGATCAAGTGATTGATCAAACAGCACATACATGGAAAGTTAAGATTGGTTAAATTTCTTAATTATATGCAATAATAACATAATGATATTAGAAACATCAATTTTTCAAATAGTTTGGTTAATTTGACACTAACAAAATAAGGAAACCCATCTTTAAGCTAGTATGATAGTCTTACAATTATTGTGTGTTAATAAAATTAAGACAATACATGAATATGCCTTTGATTGTATTCTTATCAACAAAAGCATCCCAAATCAAGTTGCTTTTCAACAGCTGTTGGAAAAATAAAATTTGCATAACAGAGATAGCTACAGAGATATGTCATTAAAAACTAACACAAGATACAGAATATAGACAGAAATAGAACTAAGAAAATGGACAATAATAAAGCAAGGCACAGCATGGTACAAACATAATGAAAGTCTAGAAACATTGGAATTGGGTTATAACAATTAATAACAGTAATAAAACAAGAAGCTTAAATTCATATCACTATATTCACAAGTATTAGCCCAAATTTAACATTTGAAGCTGCTACACCAGATCGAGCTTGTTTTCAGCTTTTTTAAGTATCAGAAATTTTGTTTGGAAAAAATCAAATTAGATTCACTAAGATGAAAGTCCAAATTAAACAGTTGAAGCTGCTACACCAAATCGAGCTTGTTTTCAGCTTTCTTAAGCATCAGAAATTTTGTTTGGAAAAATCAAAATAGATTCACTAAGTTGAAAGTTCAAATTAATCTTGGAAGCTGCTACACGAGATCGAGCTTTTTTTCAGCTTTCTAAGCTTTAGAAAATTTGTTTAGAAAAAAGCAAAAAACCAAACTAATGAGTGCATACAAATAGGATTTATGAATACACTTCAATGTGTTTTGGAAAGAAAAAGGGGTGGGCGGATTAAGTTTAATTTTTTTTTTTTACTTTTAAACATTTGTAAAGAGATGGTCTGTTGTAACTTCAACTTTGAAATGGTTTTTTTTTTCCCATCTGAAAAAAGGCCATAATAAAGCGATTAATTGGTTGAAAGATATTTTTAACACTTGAATCTTAATGTGTTTACTGAATATGGCGTTACATTAACAAAAATATTCCATCTTGACCATCATTTTTGGTGTTTTAATAACTTATTAACCAATTATGGGCATGCCATACTAGGGGTGGGTATTTTGGATAGTGACAACAATTTTTTTTTTTCACCAGAGAATTTCCCTTACTTTAAATTTACAGCAATCAGTATAGAACAGGAAGGAAACTTAGTGCAAAACACAGAAGCACTGAACAAGGCTGGAATGATAGTTTTATCAATGAGGTCAGTTATATCTTATTACTTTACGAATATTTTTCAGTTATATTTCTGACTTCAACTAATTTGAATGTACCAAGAAAAGTTATAAATCGTGAACACAGAAAGCATTTGAATAGATATACAAATTAATGGTATACTTCTCATTTCAACTAGTTACAGTAGTAAACAATCAACTTGGTCTACGCCATTCGATGTGATTTTTACTTACGGTCTCAAGGATAATAACTAGTGTATTTGATTAACCGAGATCACATATCGTGGGTGACTGCTTGAAACCTCGTATAACGATATATCACGCGAAATTACTTTTCGAGAAAAACGCAAAAAAACATTTGTACTCGTATTTTGTTAAAAAAATTTCTTCTTTTCTTTACCACTATACATGTTTTCATTCTTTGAAAATTTAAACCTCGTATAACAATTTGAGTACTCGGTCCTATTCAACCAATAACTCGTATAATAATACAGTATACAGTTATTTACAATCAAGCTAAGAATAAGAGGTTTTTATCACAAGATCTGCGCTTTAACAAGCTTTCGAACTTTACCAAAAAGTCAAAAAGACCAAATGTCGCATATACAAGGTTTCAAGCAGTCACCCACGATATAATGTTTGTGATTTAACCCTCCTAAGTTCTCATTCATTCCATATAATTCATTGTCAAATTTTAACACATTTTTTTTCACACATAAATGTAATCAACTATCGTGAAACAAGATAAACTGTTTAAATTATAACAGCTGAGTATATGATCTGGTGTTATTTTGTTGTTGAATACAAGTTACTATCAATCAACTCTTATTGGTTATTTGTACATAGCACCAATTATTACCCTGAAAAAAATAAAATTCAAAATTGAAATAAAATAAATGGGGGGTTAGTTCTGCTTTTCTGTGTATTATTGGACTAATGAATACCCCACGCCATGCAGTGTGCAATGAGAAAAATTTTGCCAGGACAGCAGTCCCATACCTGATTTTCTTCTGTGTTGTCTACTCTCAGCTGAAGAGTTTTGAAATATGAATATCTTACCTATAATTTACATTATCCTACTTTAGATATTAATTCATCACATATAGCTGTTAACTCTTCATTTTCTTTTTTCTAAAATAAAAAAATCTTTAATTATTTTGTGTTTAAGGTATAAAGCCATATCAAAGGTATGGAACTTAGAATATCAGCTTCAAAATAGCAATTAATGTCTCAAAACAACAAACCGGGTTTGTTTTTTGGGGTTTTTGTGATCGGAAAAACAATAAAAAAACAAGAGATGCAATGCATGAAAATTCCCCTTTGTAAAAACTGATTCCAAAATGACATTATGTGCTTATGCTTGATTCAAAAAAAAAAAAAAATCTAATCTGTGATAATTGACTACTTTGAAGCTGATAATATTGTGAACACAAAAATACATCAAAATTTTATTCACAAACATAAGTATGAAAACACTAGAGATGAGTTTTATTCGGTAATAATATTGTAAATGCTTCATTCATAGAGGCAGGTCTTTGGGAAAAAATCATTTCGGCAAAGACAATACCTCAACAAATTTTCTGTTATTAACAGCTATTTACAATTTTCACAAAGAAACAGTTTTAAGAAACATACCTTTTGTTCTAAACTATGTTCTAATCCTTTAATTTGTATCTCACATTTTTTTAAAGCAGCTTCTAATTTGGCTATTTCTGTTGATGAGGATTTCTTGATCTTTTCTAGATCATTGTGCGCTCTGAAAAATATAACACATAAATCAGCTTAATTAAGAATCCAGGTGGCAAACAATAACTGTTAACAATAATATTTCAATATAAATAAGAGGTGGAGTCTTAATTTTGCTAAAACAAGTGGATTTGAATTTATTGAACCTTCTACGCCCACATAAATTTCTTTTGATTAAGAATACATGGGTAATTCATTATAAACACCAAGAATCAAAAAGTTTGCTTGATCTTAATCTTAAAAATTCTTCAACACTTTCTGGAGCTAATGCAGATGTGAAATCATGAATCATCCAATGGTGAAAATTTCATTGCAATAAGTCTAGTATCTATGACAAATGTATAAGCTTAATAATTAGAACATCAGTACTTGGAAGGATTCTAAAGAGGTTTCTTGCCTATGTATATATATACCAGACACTCATAGCTAATACCACTTCAAACCAAATGTTTATAGCATAGTGACATCAATATCTCCTTTGTTTAAGGAATTGCAGGAACCATAAATATCAAGAACCATAGATACCATACAGGATAGTACAATGCAAACAATTAAAGAAACCTCTTCTGAATCACATTGCTGTATATACTATATGACTAAAAAGTAACTTACTGTTCTAATTTTTCTTCAGCTTGTTGTTTTAAAGCCTGTAATTTACTTTCAGCTCTTTTCACTTTACCTTGATGTTCTTCTACACATTTCTTTAATATTCCTTCATTCTAGAGGGTAGAAAAACAACAATTTTAACATCTACTTCCTAAAAAAAGTTGATCACAAATAGTGTTCACACCCCACTGTCGAAATTTGAGCCTTCAAATCCATGTGTGCCCAGGATTATGCGCGTTTGAAAGTTAACATAAAATGACGACTCGTCTTTTCTTGAGACTCTGCCATATATAGAAAAGACATAATAGAAAGTGAAATTCCTAGTTTGAGGTATATTTGAAAACATTATGCATTTTTTTTACATTAATAGTATATCATTTCGGACAAACCTGTTTAAAATTCTCGACAGCTCCCTTTGCTTTTTCAAATCTTCTATGTAAATCAGAGAAGGCTGTTTCTACAGAATTTAAATCTTCTAAAGCTTGATCTCTTTCTTTCATCACATCTTGTAATGACTGTTTAGAATTTAAACAGGTTTTCTGTTTCTCAGCTGAAAACATAGAATTCCACATGTAAAGAGATTTTCCAGAGGACACATTCATAGTTTATATCCATGTCCTTTAGATTTCCTGTTAGAATCCTGTAAATTCAGGAAGACTCATTTGCTTACTGCAAAATCCATCTAGAATTACAGGAACCATACACGTAAGAACAAAAATAGGAATTGTGCAAATAGAGGTCTCCCCGCTAAAATCTTTAATAATTGAGTAGCTAGAACGACAAGACGCTTTTTCCACTTCAGGCCCTCTTACCTGCATCACTGACAGGAGGAAACCAGGTTGAAAAAACCAAAGGTATTATCTCGACCTACGCTAGGATTACACCATAGACCTTCAGGCTAGCGAGAAAGCGTCTAACTGAGCCATGGTGGCTCCCTCTTATAGGTCAAGCAACAGGCATGAAACTCATATAGAACATAGAGTACATACCTTGTAACTGTGATATAGTTTTCTCAAATTCGGCTACAACAGCTCTGTAAAGACACAGTGAAAATATGAAAACATTAACTAGGAATTCTGATTGGATGGTAAAACAATAAAAGCGCATATGAAACATTTTAAGTGAAATGCTGAAGCAGCAAATTACCTGTTTAAAAAATATTTAAATGTGTATATCCATGATTTTGGCTCCTTTGCTCCTAGCTTTTGCTACACGGATAATTCTATACATGGATTCGAAGGCTCAAATTTCAACGGTGAGCTGTGAACAGTACTACTGATTAGCTTAGCTAAAGAGATTATGTGCTACAATTGTCAAACTAATGGGGTATTTGTTCCTTTAAACTTATGAACTGTCTTACCTCATGTCTTCCGTTGTTTGGTTAGCTTTTCTCGTTTTCTCTTCTTGGTTTCCTAGTTTCTTTTGAGTGTCTGCTAGTTTTTTACTCCATTCTTTTTCTTTATTCAATATTTCAGCTTGATATGTCAACTCTAATTCCTGTTTCATTTTATTCCAGTCAGTTTGGGAATATTTCATCACCTAAAAAAATAATTTTATTGACTAGATATTGATCCAATACATTCAAAGAAGATAATTTCTACTACTACCCATTCTTAAGATTTAAACAAATACTAATAATCAATCTGATTAAAAAGCAATTCTTAAAGGGATTGTAAAGATTTTTAAAGGATTTTTAACACATTTTATGTGTATCAGGAACATTGATAGCATTGATTTGTACCATTCAATTTTGAACTCCACTAAAAGTTTTATGATGTCACTACTGCAAAATCCCCTAGAAATTATTAACAGCTTTTAAGAGTGATGACAAGGTATTAGTGGATTGCAAAAACAGAAGTCAGACTAGATATTGGATTGATGTTAATCGATGCTATCTGTATCCCTGATGCACAAGTTTAGAAAATCACTTTACAACCTCTGCAAATTTTTATCTTTTCTGTTACTTCATCCATCCTAGCCTCTGACAAATTTAATTTTACCAACAGAACATATTTGTGCAGATTATCAAATCCAACAAAAAACAGTAAAAAGTTGAGTATGGTAATTATTTTAAATTTCTAGAAACTCATCATTTCTAACGATGTATTGAATTCTTGGATATCAGAAGTAGGTCTCAGAAAAAATTCATATTTTAATCAGACTGATATATACTTAAAGCCAAATAATTATTTGCTTTTAAAATTAGATGTTTTATGAAAAATTTTTTTAATTATTATTATGGATTAATACAATTTAAAAATTTTCAAGAATTCCTATTGTTTAAAAAAATGGTTGAATTTTGGCTATTTAAAATAATAAAAGTATTGATATAAATATTCAATTAAGAAATTAACAGTAACTCAACATATAAGTTTTTCAAAATTGTTATAGATATTACTTGTCAAATAAACTACTTGATTTCATGGTCTTGCTTTGTTCTTCAAACACAAAAACATGCTAATTTCACACATGAGTTCTATAAAACCTGCAAACTATATGGGGTTTTTTGTCCCCCTTGTTTTTTTGATATAAACATTCTTTCTCAGAAAATGTTAGATCTAAACATAATTTTCACTACTGTAGAAAATCAGTCTGAAAGGTTTAAATTTCAGCTATCTGTACTCAGTATAACAATATTTTGTAATTTGTACCACATCTTAGTGCTTAGATTATAATATGTTATTTCTTCGATATATACAATGGATGTTAGTTGGCTACATCTTTTTAAAATTGTTATCAGTGTCTATATATATTTGCTCTGCCAGTTTAAAAGCTCAATTTCAACTGTATTTCAATATGAAAACCGAGAATTAAATCCCAAGTTCTTCTTCAATTAATTAAGACTGCTATCTTAGACAAATGATGTCATGTTATCAACAAAATATTCGCATGGGAGTAAAAGATACAAAAATTTATCTTGAGCTTTATCAGCTGGTAAAGCAAATATGTAGACAGCTATTAATACATAATTCTTTAATACAAAAGTTTTACATTCATCAATAACCACACAGAACACAACATATTCAAATACAACACCAACATGCAAATATTTCATCATTTCAGTACTAAGGAAAATGTTTTACATTTCATCATTTCAGTACTAAGGTAAATGTTTTATATTCCATCATTTCAGTATTAAGGTAAATGTTTTATATTTCATCATTTCAGTATTAAGGTAAATGTTTTACATTTCATCATTTCAGTATTAGGGCAAATGTTTTATATTCCATCATTTCAGTATTAAGGTAAATGTTTTACATTTCATCATTTCAGTATTAGGGTAAATGTTTTATATTCCATCATTTCAGTACTATGGTAAATGTTTTATATTTCATCATTTCAGTATTAGGGTAAATGTTTTATATTTCATCATTTCAGTACTAAGGTAAATGTTTTATATTCCATCATTTCAGTATTAAGGTAAATGTTTTACATTTCATCATTTCAGTATTAGGGTAAATGTTTAATATTCCATCATTTCAGTACTATGGTAAATGTTTTATATTTCATCATTTAAAATGTTTTATATTTCATCATTTCAGTACTAAGGTAAATGGTTTATATTTCATCATTTCAGTATTAAGGTAAATGTTTTATATTTTACCATTTCAGTGCTAAGATAAATGTTTTACATTTCATAATTTCAGTGTTAAGGTAAATGTTTTATATTTCATCATTTCAGTACTAAGGTAAATGTTTTATATTTCATCGTTTCAGTGCTAAGGTAAATGTTTTATATTTCATCATTTCAGTGCTAAGGTAAATGTTTTATATTTCATCGTTTCAGTATTAAGGTAAATGTTTTATATTTCATCATTTCAGTGCTAAGGTTAATGTTTTATATTTCATCATTTCAGTAAATGTTTTATATTTCATCATTTCAGTGCTAAGGTAATTGTTTTATATTTCATCATTTCAGTGCTAAGGTAAATGTTTTATATTTCATCATTTCAGTACAAAGGTAAATGTTTTATATTTCATCATTTCAGTGCTAGGTAAATGTTTTATATTTCATCATTTCAGTACAAAGGTAAATGTTTTATATTTCATCATTTCAGTGCTAAGGTAAATGTTTTATATAATTCATCGTTTTAGTATTAAGGTAAATGTTTTATATTTCATCATTTCAGTGCTAAGGTAAATGTTTTATATAATTCATCGTTTCAGTATTAAGGTAAATGTTTTATATTTCATCATTTCAGTGCTAAGGTAAATGTTTTATATAATTCATCGTTTCAGTACAAAGGTAAATGTTTTATATTTCATCATTTCAGTGCTAAGGTTAATGTTTTATATTTCATCATTTCAGTAAAATGTTTTATATTTCATCATTTCAGTGTTAAGGTAAATGTTTTATTAAAACATTAGTTTTATATTTGTTATAATTTGCAATATTAATTCATCAGGTTTATATCATATATTAACAATCTAGTTTTCCAATCAATCAACGACAACATGGTTAAATAACAGACAATAATTTGTTATCTCCCTTTTACCACATAAGATTTCATAGCAGTTATAGCTGTTGATAACTATGATTATATCATTAATTTCAAGATAATATTGATGATGATGATGATGATAATGATGAAACATGATTGATAATGATATGATGAAGAAGCGTGAGGCAAAAAGCACCTTAAAAGGAATACAAAACCATAATTTTTTTATTTCACAGCAGTTTCTAATTACAAAAATTTTTTTACACTTGGATTTTCAAGTTTTTTTTCATCAAAATTATGTTCCTGTATCCCTTTACATTACCAACATTCAGCAACAGTTACAAAAATTAAATAAACACATTTGAGATGTATGTCTTTACATTGCAGCACATTGAATACAAATTAATTGCCAGTCATGAAACGAATATAGTCAAAAATGTATGGTAGTGATAATAGTAATAGGGACAAACAATATGCACCAAAAAGTTGAATATTCTGCAAAAATATTTTGGCAAATAAGATTTCAATGGAGTTTCACAATGAAGTGAACCAAAGACAGGATTTTGTTTGTTTGTCCAAGCATGCTAGGAAAATAAAGGATATTGAAATATGTATTGATGATATCTTATACCCAATATAGCAAGCTAGTAAAATGCAGCAACCAAAGTATAAATAGCATTACCTTAAAGTCATCTAAGCCCTGAGAATCAAAGGTAAAATAGCAAAAATAAGGAAAAAATAAAAGATAATATACGTAAATTAAAGGAAATCAAAAGGAGGTTTACAGTGACGTATAGTGTTCCTGTAATTCCAGAAAAACATGACCAATCTATGGCATCACAATCTTAATTCCAGAAAAACAATACCAATTTATGGCATTATTCTGGATCATTTGCATGCAAGTCCTGTAATTTTTGACAAGCCTTACAAGATTATGAAAACATTATCTTAAATACCATTGGAGCCAAAAGGTAATGAGTTTTGATATCATAATATTGTCAAATTTACAGAGTTGCAGGAAACCAAAATGTTTCCAATGAACATAAAAATGCCAGAAAACCTCCTTGATCCTTTTAAAATTCCACAACATATAATATGAAGATAGCCAAGGATAAGATGAGTTGGAATCAGCAGGATATAAATAATTTCTCATGGCTTTTTATTTAATAGGTTTCCTTAATTCATGAAAGCTGATTACCAAAAACCTCATGAAATTTATTTTGGATTTCAAATTTTAACAACTTAAACCTGTTCATCAAAATATTTGGGAAAATTTTTTTGCAAATAAATTCTTTTTCATTAATTGAGAATTGGCATATTTATCCTTCAAGATCACTTCATGTCACTCTGCAATTTCAATTGTCGACTTCCATTAATGATATCAATGTTTTTCAATCTGATTTTTTATTAGAAAATATCTCCGAATTTTTTTTTTTTTCAATTTTTGGACAAGCCATAGGAAATTATTTTGATTTTTCGAAAAAAAAGATTAAATGAGTGTATAAGTAGACAAATAAAGGGAAAAAAATGAACGAATGAAATGAAATGATAAAATGAGCTAATGTCATGAGAACTATGTTTCTCCTGAAAAACAAAATGTTCTAATATAATGCCAAGAATCCAAGGGTGTTGGAACTTAAAATCAGGAACAAATTGATCAGAATTATAATAAAATACATTCAATACCTCTTGAAGATCAGACTTTAAAATTTAAGAAAAAAAAAAGCAATCATTATAGTGAAATACATAAATTGCTGAAAAAAAAAAGGTGTATTTAATTTTTTTGCGATGTGTTACACATCATATTGTGTTTAAAATTTATAGCTCATGCAATTTACAATATCACAGGTAACAAGGATATATATAGAAAAAAATAGCATCAAAATACAAAAGTATATATCAAGTTTCATTACGATCTATGGTGTTCACAAGTAATTAAGTTGCTACTTTAAGATTGCTACACATGAAAAGTCTTATTCGGAGATTTTTGTCGCAGACTTGAGTCTTGAGTAAAATCATGCCTGCGCTACCACTAGATGATTAGATCAAACCAGTTTGATATTTGTCGCCGATTATTTTATCGTCAGCAAGACCGAGAGTTATCATCCAATCAGATTCCTTTTACTTCAATTGTATTATCTGTACGTGATTATCAACATAGTGGAAAAAGACAAAAAGTCTCCTTATGTGCCCGCAGCCGGTTGGTTGACAGTACAATGCGTTTGTATCTCACGTAATATTTACTAGGAAATTTGCATTGATTTTCAATCATAAGTTAACTTTGGAAAGAGAAGGGCCACATAAGCTTATAAAGTTGAGATTTTTCAAAAATAATTTGATTATTATGAAAATTGCACAAATACTTGATAAGCATTCACAGAATAAAAATCTCCTAAATATTCTTATAAATTACACTAAAACATTACAACATCACTGATACACATATCAATATAGAATATCAATATAGAATTCATCCCCAAAATATCCCAAAAGTCAAACAAAAAAAAGGAAAATTCCGAAAGTACCCAAATTAAAAAATGAATATGTTATATAAAATTATTACCTGAACCAGTTGAACAACTTGATCATTGGTGGCCATATTGTCTTCCTGAAAAACACATTGAAAATGAAACATATTAAAGCTTTACTTAATATCCAGAACACTATATGCCACTCTGCAATTGAGAGTTTTGATTCAACATTGCTTACTTATTTTTAGTGCACATTGATATAAGTCAATCCTAATTTAGGACCATCAGTGTATTAATGTAAATTTCAAATTTCATGTTAAATGTTCAATACTCTTTGGGATACAACCATTTACTAAGCACAACCCGATGATCTCATATGAAACAATGTTATAAAAAATTTGCTATTCAGAGATTTCTTAAAGGGAAATTCGACTTTTTTGTAGGTCGAAAAAAAAATTTCCTCAAATTTGTGAAAATTATAAATCAAAATCTATAGAAATGTATCCTTTAACGTATCTGAAAGTTTTAACTAAAAAAATTCGGCTGTTAATGTTTTAGCACAAAACTTTATGTAACCTTCTAAAATTTGTCATGCTTTTTTGCAAGCTAATTTGAGTAAAATAAACGCCTAATTGTAGAGAAATATATCTGCTACGTTTTCTAAAGTTTTCAACTAAATATAACGAGCCATTATAAAGCCAATCACCGAAATTAGGTAAAACTGCTTAATCAACAATAAGCACTCTAGTTTTTAATTAACCCCTTTAAAACAAATTCAGTTTGATCAAGAAGATACATAGATAAAATTAGCATACTTTAGAAATATTTTCAGGTATAATTTACAACGTTTTTGATATTGATAATGTTTCACAAAAAAAGCAGAACGCCCCTTTAATCAGTTAAAATGTAATTGAGATCTTCCTATTCAAATCCACTGACAAATCTCTTGACTTGCAAGTCATACAGTGAATATATTTGTTAACAATTCTGATTTTGATTATCATAATGATACAATTGGTAACTACAATTATATCAACACCCTTTAGAATAAGTGAAAGATACGGAAGTTTATCTAGAGAAACGACTAAACTGGTTTTTTTTGTAAATGACGTAAACTGCTTCCCAGCTGACTGATTTGCAAATATAAGATCAAGTATGATCACACAATAAACCGTTCTGTTAAAATCTCCTTAACAAGTTTTAGGCTTCGTGCATGTTCAATTTCATTCATTCATCTGAAGATGAATACCAACCATGCAAACAATAAAATTCTAGATATCTGAAATTGCAAGCATTTATTTGGCTATCAAAAACTAAATCACACTTCAGACTTATTGGGTTGTTGGATGAAAGGCTTAAAAATGAAAACTGACCAATAGACCACCCAGATATATATCAATGATACCAATATCTCCTCGCTTCTCAACTTTAGTGAGATCATTTCTACCTGGAAGAGTTTTTCCACATATTTTGAAAAGTATTTCGCTTGAAAAATGTGTTCATTGCAATGATTAACTATGAATGGATATAAAATCATACTCCACATATCAAGATTTGTGACCATTGGGACGAATAAGCTTATTCGTTCACGATTTTCTGTATGTCCAGCTATATTCAATGAACCACGTTTCTTTGTGAGTAATATTATAAATATTTAATCTATCTGTATTTGACAAGTTACTTTTAAATCATAAATCTGACAGTGCTATGCCATAACATTTTGATATCCTAAGGAAAGGCCGAGTATCTTAAAATGAGTTGTCATTTTAACATTCGAAATCGGAACATGGATTTGAAGGCTAAAATTTTGAACTTTGAACACTATTACTGATTGGCTTAGCTAAAAAAATTCCCATTTCTGAGACTAAAGTATGATTGGTCAAAAAGAATGGCGCACCAGTCCCTTTAAGGAAAGGCGGATTCAAAATTCAACCTCTGGTACAATGGGCCTCCATTTGTCCCAGGTGAACAAAACAAACACTAAGAAGTTACTTCCTTAAACTATGCTGGAACCAACCCCTGGATATTTGATTAGCGAACTCTGCGATGAGCTATTGCTCAAAAAGTATGGTTTATAGAGCACAGGATAGCAAATGAAAAATGAATGTAATATTGTTAGAATGACCAATAAAGTATTAAATTAATAATGAATATAACTGGCACACACCACACCATGCCAATAATATTAATATATTATGTATAACCTCAGTCAGGTCAGCTGAATATATTTCTGTATCCTGATGACTAGGACGTGGCCAGCTATCAACAGAATCTTGAGATAAACAACTAGTATCTTCTATTTCAGTGTAATTTTGAATCTGTTCAACCCAAGTATCTGATGTGTCTCCACTCTCGTCAAAATGGAGATCATCATTGTTCCTAGACTGAATTAAAGGAACAGCAAACATTTAAGTTGGGGGACAGTCATGTGACCTCCACACATTTTCAGACCATCACAAAGGAATTTCCGTTTTCAAAATTTACCTAAAGGATTTTGTGTCTAAAATACAAGACGGCAGCAATAAGCTTAGAATCTTTAAATTATAGAATTCATGATCCTCAGCAAAGTTCCTTATCTTAAGGTTAAAGATTGGTTCCCTTATTTTCATTTATGAAAATGAAAATGCTAATACTTATATGAATAGATAGTATAGGTGTTCTAATGACTTGGAAAAATACCAGTGTGTCTCATATGTTCATAATTAATTCAAAAATTCGCTAAATTAGAAGAGAATTACAAGCAGAATTCCAATGAGTGACCGATCAAGAAAGGTCGAAAAGTCTTTTTTTGTTTATCCAGACTGTACATACATGGACATTTATGATTGGTTAAAACTCTAAATAATATGCAATAAAAACATAATGATATGATTAAGAATCATGAAAATTCATTAGAAACACCAATTAATCAAATAGTTTGCTTAATTTGACACTAAAAAATAAGGAAAACCATCTTTAATATATCTACGCATGTATATTGAAAGTAATGTTTCTGCATACACTATAAGTAAAGGTTCAGTTTGTGTTAAATAAATCTCATTAATTGTCTTAGTAAAAGTTCTAATCACCACAATCATTTAGGTTAATTTTTTTTAAAAACTAACTGCTATGCTAAAATATATCAAGCAACCCCTTCTTAGATACTTAACAAACCAATACTAAATATCTGAATATAATTCTTAGCCTTAGTAGAATCTTAATTATAACATTATGACCTGTTCCAATTTGTCCTTACATACTAAGATAGTGAACGCATTGGCAATTTCAAAAACTGGTTGCTTCATCTACTTTTTAGGAGGAAGTAGACTCTTATTATCCAGTCATTTTGCTAAAGAGTTGCATCCCTTTTGATAACTCAGAGTTCCCTAGTGTATAAGCATTACGATAGTGTAAATTCTAGAAGAAACCCAATTGACATGGCTTTACTGACCAATGAAATGTCATCTCACTCAAAGATGAGCCTGTCAAGCACACCAGACTGAGATCTGCAACCAGTTTAGATATTGAATCATCTGGTCTCAGAAAGATCTGAAAATTCAATACAATACCTTGTCTTTGGTGACAATAGGACTGGTACTCAATAATAATCTATCTACATCTTCTTCTGGTGCCTTCTTGCCTTCAAACTGATCCTGTAACTTCCTTGATGCTGGATGACTCCTATTCTTCTGTTTTAATTTACTTGGTGAAGGTGTATTTAATAATAACAGATCTGTTTCACTGAAAAGATCAAACCAAATAATAAATAGAAGCTTATTTAACAGAATAATAATGTATATTGGAAGCCTTTGAATAATTCTGAACTGTATAAATACTATCATGTAGCTAGACCTAGGGCTGAGTATCGATTACCAATTATTACAGTTTATGGCAGGTAAGTTATGCTAAAAAGGAAAACTTTGTGGAAGAGTCAGATTTGACCTAACTTCCATTCGCATTTTATTAGTTTCCTTTCGAATGTTTTATTAGCTATTAACTTTGTACGTAATCACTACAATAAGGTTTAATACAGTCCTTCTCCGACTTTTCATATTGTTAACCTTTGCTTGACCTCTGTTTTAACCAATCACATGGCTGCCCTTTCCAGCAACGGGACAATGTGACACGAACAACAAGCGTATTAGACTAGCTGATTAAGTCCGCTAAAGAAAAGGTTAGCTTTAAGTTGCATACCACATACTACAATTTATATATTTCAATATTTCGGTAAAAAAAATCAGAAAACGTCTTTGAGTGTGATGAATATCTAGAAAATCAAAAAGGATCAAAAACCAGAATTGATGCCATATTTAACAAAAAATTTTGAATGAAAAAGAGTGGTACTGGTATAATTTTTCTAAAAGATTTAGATTTTCTTCCAGACTGCATATTTTATCTCATATTTTAATGTAGTGAAAACAAGAGATTTACAATCAATGAACAGATCTTATGGCAAGAAGCCAGATTAGAAAATCTCATGTCAATACTAGAAACTCTAAGTCCATCATAGGAGAAATTTATCTTCAAAATAAAGATTTTCTATACTCTTAAGATAAAGTTAATTATACTGAGCTAAATGAGGACAATTCTATTTGTCCAAGTCTCAAAATCTATATTATATTCTTGCGACATATGCATATTTGTCCATCACTGCCCTTTTTTAGATTATCTCAAAATATTTTACAATTTTGGGTGCTTTATTCATGATATTTACTGATATAAAAAATATCCGTACAAGAACGAGACAAATTCGTAAATCGAATTCCTGTCCAAAGTATGGCAAAATGAGAGTTAAAGTTATAGAGTAGTGGACTCCTCCAATGAGAACGTTTTGAAACTGAAAGCGTTATTAAGGTTAATATGTCAAATATATGACATGAATCCACATAAAGACGCAATGATGTACAGTGCCTTGTGCGGTTTACGATGCGAGAATATCGATACAGTAGAAAATAGATCAAGTGAACACATGACGTAGAGTGTCTGGACAAAATGTAGACACGATTCTCAACCATTTTCTACTGTACTGTATCGTTAATCCTGTGTCATATACAGGCCCGGACACCATCTATTTGTGGCTTCATAGCATAATTAATACAAGAATTTGTAATTTAATTGAAGGTTATCTTAAATCCATAACACCCTTTAAGGCTTACTCCCAGTTCAGGCTGTAGCTTAGAGACTATTTTGTCCCATTGAAATGACTTGACTTAAATTGGAAAATCAGGCAAAATATGGAAATTGGCACATTGGTATATTTCATCCAATTGAAATACCATCTCAAAACCTTGCTGACACGACACCAAAGAATTACACAAAATAAATAGTGAAAATTCTAAAAGATTAAAAAAAAAATGTCATTCTGACCTACCCTTTAGTTCCTTTCATTTTCACAAAAAAGTCAAATTCTTTCAAATAAAAATACAGAACTAGCTGATAATTGCAGTCACATATAATAGCACATTTTTAACATTCTAAAAGAACTTGTGTTGGAAACAGGTAAAAGTTTATACACAAATCTTAAAATAGATTGGCGTCTGCTAGTTAGGCAGATGTACAGTAGTACCAAATTACAGTTTGACTTAGATATCTCTCTACAATATCTAATATACAGCTGTTAGGCAATCTGTTACTCTTCACACTTTCTAGTTTCTGTTTCGCCTGCAAATATCTCTACTCATAGATAATCTGTGTGGTTTTTGGAGCATATGGAAGGAACCGCAGGATTTACTGATAAATACCGCAAGTCGTAATACACAGCCAATGGATATTTTGTGAGAATCAATATACAACAACTTCTCTTTTCGAGTTTGTGATACACACGTTTAACAATTCGTTTATAAATTTGTTTCCCACAATTTTGAAATGAATCTGGAAGAAAAAGTTCTCGTACTTATTGCTTGCTGAGCATGGAATGGTTCGTTTTTCATGTATTGTCTCCTGATAGTTTTGCCTTTCAGAATGGCAGTTTTGTATATCGTGATCAAGCAATATGTCCAGTGATATATCAACACAGGTTAACCCAGACTGGCTAATTCAAGAATCAAGAAATTATTTTTAAGTAACACCTTCTTAAATAAAGTCACAGTTGCAATTCAAAACACTTATTCACCATACAAATATGTGGTCAACCAATATTTTCACCATAGAAAAATCCAATATGGCACTACAATGTTAAAGTTAACTTAGTACTGTGTCTATATAAAACTCTAGCTCTGTGTCTCTATCAATCAATAAAATCCTACATAAACATGGTGGAGAATGTCTATTAGATTTCCCTAGTACGTCATAGAATTCCATTAGTCAATAGGATTGAAGTCAGAAATAATCTGGACATCAGGCCAAAATTTGGGAACATTGCAAAGTTCTTCCACATTCCAATGGTGTTTTTGGGTGTGGCTCAATGGCTGCCAATACTCTCTTAATGCAATTTGAAAGCAATAAATCTTTAAAACAGTACTAATAGGTTACTGATGAATACCAGTTAGGAAACAAGTATTACATCTAAGCCTTGAGCGATATTGAATCTCCATCAAATTACATCAATGGCTATTTATAGTATAATGTTAATGGCTAATACTATACACATCAGAATGCCATTCTAATGCCTTTTTTGATACATTCTAATATTTTGGTTGTTTTCCTGCTAAAAAGTGAGTCCGAGTGAAACAGCAAGGAGTGCCAAATGCACCTATAGCAACCAAAACTACGTTAATCTAAAAGTCTACTCAGAAATACCAGATATAGATAATGTTACGAAACCTTAGGGCAGAGGGTTGGAGGGAGGGGGTTGGGGAGAGGGGGGTAGTGAGGGAGACAGTCTTCCATACAGAGCAACAATACAAATCATAAGCTTATACACACTAGTTCAATATAACAGTAATTACTTAAATTACTTAAAACTTAGGATGTTTTAAAAATCAATCACTTCTTGTGTTTTAAGTCAAAAACATCTTGACATAAATGAAACTTTTAAGTCATTAAAAACACTTTACCTTAGTCATATGTATCAAATATTTTTGTTTTTAAACAGCCATGTTGATGAGTCATTAACTACATACTAATTAATCCTGTCTACATTATAGTACTGGATATTCAACACTAAATGTCAAACTTTCTCTAATAATATTGAATTTTCTAATACTTCTATATGATATTTGTAATAATAATATGAAAATTCTGTTTTAATATTTCTATTTCTATATCACTCTACAATTGTTGTAATGAGCACTATTTTAACAGTAGCAATATTTTATTATTATTGTAGTATTAAAATTAATGTATTATTCACATATTTTAAGTATTATTTTAACTTCTTTTTAAGGTTGAGGATAGCCAAAAGGTTTATTCTAAAACATGAAAATAAAAGTTCATTATAGAATCTTTGATGTCTATCCAAGTTAGATGTAAGGTTAGGCTTGTCCAATAAGTCTAATGTCTATTTTGGCAGAGCATTGACTAGAATACTCTTACTAGATCTATCTTTTGACTCATTTATTTACATCTTGAATGATCCAGGATGGCTTTAGACTCCTCATTAATTTTGATGGCTGAGCCATATTAAAATCAATTTCATGATATAGATTTTGAACAGAAATATAAACTTAATTATCCATGTGAACTTTTCTCTTCTTCATTTTCATTCAGATTGGCAAAATAACATGGCAAGTCAGATTGGCAAAATACTATGGCAAGTCAGATTTGCAGACACCATGGCTAGTCAGTTTGGCAAATTACCATGGCAAGTCAGTTTGCAAATACCATGGCAAGTCAGATTTGCAGATACCATGAAAAGTCAGATTGGCAAAATACAAAGGTAAGTCAGATTGGCAAAATACCACAGTAGGTCAGATTGGCAAAATACCACAGTAGGTCAGATTGGCAAAATACCACAGTAGGTCAGATTGGCAAAATACCATGGCAAGTTAGATTGGTGGTAAAATACCAGGGCAGGTCAGATTGGTAAAATACCATGGCAAGACAGATTGACAAAATGCCAGGGCAAGTCAGATTGGCAAAATACCATGGCAGGTCAGATAATTGGTAAAATACCATGGCAGGTCAGATTGGTAAAATACCATGGCAGGTCAGATTGGTAAATTGGTAAAATACCATGGCAGGTCAGATTGGTAAAATACCAGGGCAGGTCAGATTGGTTAAATCACCATGGCAAGTCAGATTGGTAAAATACCATGGCAGGTCAGATTGACAAAATACAAGGGCAAGTCAGATTGGTAAAATACCATGGCAAAGCAATTAGCTTACTGGTATCATGATTAAGCATTAACCCTCTATTCAACATGAGAGAAATTAAGAGTAATGTTTATTACCTGGATATTGATGTGGAAGCTGCTGTTTTAGGTGGAGTGGCTTCTTCTTCTTTTTCTACAACAGACAAGGCAATTAACAAATCAATAATCTTATAAATACATCAACTAATGATAATATAATGTCTGTAACATATAGCTAAATAAGGAAAACAGAAAGAACAACATAAACAACCAATGATGGATATACTATGATGAATTTATTCAACGATGTATTTGAGTTTGGATGATGCACAAGAAAAGCCTAAAGCAGCATATTTCAAGCGAAATGATACAAAACTTAAAAGTCAATTTAGAAGTTGTCAACAATCTTGCTTTATAGCAACAATAAAATGTTATAAATACTTTTAACATAATCTACAATTCACAAGTTACTTTAATATTATGATCATATATGCAAAAATATAATTCCTAGGCCTAGGCACTTTTATCTAAAAATACTCATTTATGGTTCCTGAAAGTTTCATGCAAGCAGCTATAAACTGTCCACAGCATGCATATAAGATTGCCATTGTCTTACCAGCTTTAGGCATATAACCTCCCATCTTAGTCACTAGTATATATTATCAAAATTGTTATGATAATATCCTCGTGTTCAGCTAATTATATATATCCTTAACAAGTTCACTTATTATATCATAAAAGGAAGTAGAGAGATATGATAGACATGGAAAATAATCTACTAAATTAAAATGTTAATAAGGTCAATCACTTTGTTCAATGTCAAATGTCTTTTGTAGAATAATACTAGTGTCACAAAAACCACAAGAACTTCCACAGTGTGAGAAAATCAGGAATATAAAATGAAAGGAATTCAAGATTAACTCTGATAGTATGTGTATCACTGTAGACCAATTCCTTTTATGACTTTAAGTTGACATGCTTGTGACCTTGACCAGTGCTTGACAAATACTCCTTACGTAATAATTCACAGCCAGACAAGTATCCAAAATCAGGAATGGACAATGGAATGATTCCAAAATTATTTCAACCAGTATAATGTAGACTACTTAGTACAATTCTTTGAAAAACATTGACCAGTGCCTGACAAAATAATAGTGTTTCTGTTACACTGAAACCACAAAAGTATCCAAATGGAATCAAAATCAGGAATGTGCAATGGAACAATTCCAAGATTAATTCAGCTTGTATAAAGTGGACTTCTTAGTACAATTCCTGGAAGAACCTTGATCAGTGCTTGACAAAATACTGTTTCTGTAACACAGAAACCATACCAGTATCCAAATGGAACCAAAATTAGGAATGTTCCAAGATTAATCCAATGCCAGTATTAGTGGGTAACTTGAGTCCAATTCCACAAAAAATCTTGATGATGAAATAGAACCAAAGCTTGTGACCTTGACCAGTGCCTTAATAACACTGAAATCACCAACCATAAGGTTATAAACTCAGAAATGTGCAATGGAAGAAATCCAAGATTATCTGAAATGATGTAAGCTTATTGAATAGTTCCAAGACATGAGGTAATACAGTAAGCTTATAGACATAAATAATCACAATCATATGGAGAAAGTAGGGAGGTTTTATCAAGTTAGGTGGTATTCATTCAACATATTGTTTGGCATTGTTTCTCATGATCTTATGGAATAGAACAAATATTTGGCTAATATCTGTACATTTAATAGATTCTTTTTGTGTCAAACTTTACTCCAGTACAGTTGTGTCTTGCAATAAAGGGACAGATGCGCCATTTTAGGGGATTGATTTGAGTCTTGAATTTATGTAAATAGTCTTCAGAAGTGCTAAAAATGTACGAAAATTGGATAATTACTTCCAAAATTTTTCAAAGTTTTCCTTTTTTATGGATGTCTTTTCTAATGGCAATGTCTCAAAAAAGGATGATTCGTCTTTTTAACTCTCAAATGCGGATCTTTCTTGACACACATGGATAGGAAAGCTCAAATTTGAGCTGTGAACTCTATTACTGTGAACTCTAAGTATGATAGGTAAAGAAAAATGGTGCTTCTGTCCATAAGCAAACATTCAGCTGATTGATTTTAGAACCTTAAAAGGTTGGCAGTGCAGAAATGTCAATAAAGT